ATTCAAACTTAAATAACCAAAACACATGAATATAGAACAGTAAGGACCTCAGTGTAAATTTCATCTAACAACCAAAACTATTCCCTTCTCAATCCACCACCTTTGGACAACTGTAACTCCAACCTCCGGCCAACTTAGCCACCGAAAAAATATACTACCTTGAAGTCCTCGCTATCCTCTACGCAGCCCACCAAAATTCTACTGATTTAGGTACGATTCTTGGGTGGGTTACGTAGAGCATGGCGAGGGCTTCAAGGTGGTGTGTTGGTCTGGTGGTTTTGGTGGCCAGAAAATGATGAAATATTGTCCCAAATTGGCGGTTAGCAATGTTGTCCCATGCGAGTCGCCGACTTTGGGACGAAATTTCTGCCAAATCCGACGGAGTTAGGGACGATTCTTGGGTAGGTTGCATAGAGCATGGCAAGGGCTTTAAGGTGGTGTGTTGGTCCGGTGGTTTTGGTGGACGAAAAGTGGTGAAATTTCGTCCTAAAGTAGCTGCGGCAATGCTGTCCTGTTCAAGCTGCCGACTTTGGGACGAAATTCCGACGAAATCCGATGGAGTTAGGGTCAATTCTTGGGTGGGTTGCGTAGAGGATAGCGAGGGCTTTAAGGTGGTATATTGTTCGGTGACCAAGGTGGCCGGAGTTAGATTTATAGTTGTCCAAAAGTGGTGGGTTGAGAAGGGAATAGTTTTGGGTTTTAGATAAAATTTGCACTCGAGGTCCTTATTGTTCTATGTTCATGTGTTTTGGTCATTTAAGTTTGAATTTAAATCATAATGGTCATTCAGTGACCGTTTGTGAAAGAAATTGTAACTTTAGTGATCATTTGTGAAAGCACGTGAAACTTCAGTGACTATTTCTACAAGTTTTAAACTTCAGTAACCTTTTTTTGATTTTTATATAATTTCAGTGATCATTTGTGAAATTAACTCTTGATTATCTAATTAAAGTCATCATTTCTTTTACCATTTATAATTGAAATCATCATCAATTTTAAATATTACTTTTCTTATTTAATTGATTCACGCATGGTCTTTAGTCTTGAATATGGCTATAAATGGATCTGATAGGAATCGGATCTGCCTATATCCGATCTGATGCGATAAGAAAATTATCTGATTCAATAATTCAACGGATATTTGATTATTAAATCTATATCCGATTTGCTGTGTTATTGGATATCTGTCCGAAATTAATAAAAATTAGGAAAAAATCAATGTTTTTTTAAAAAAATTAAATTAACTCGAGGCCCCATATGTTTTTACTAGCAAGCCCAATAGTAACTTCTACAATCATATTATTCCTTTTTAAATGAGAGATCTTCTTCTAGTTTTTTATTGATATTCGATATGGGATAAGGTAAAA